TGCGGGGAGAGGGGGCCTGAGGAACCCAACCACCCAGCCAGTGTTTGTCCAGAGTGGTCTCACGAAGATCAAGCCAGGGTCATGCCTACTGACGGCCACCAAACAACAGAAGCAGAACCAAGAACATGCAAAAAAGGAAGTTTCCGAGGATCACTCAGTCACTTGAAATAACCCACAGAAAATGTGAGATGGTGTTGCAAGCGCCCTGTCTGCCCATAGCCCTGGGAAGACCCTTGTCTCCTGCACACCCTTGCCTGACTGGGCTTGGTGTTTGCTCTTGGCAACGCCATGAGCCCCAGTCATACTTGAGGAAGGACACTGTGTAGGTGCTTTACGCTCTCACTGAGACATCTGGACAAGCCGTAAGGTGGCATCTAATGGTTGCGTTCTCAGACACGGGTTAGACATCCGCATCTGTGGCTCAGTTCCACCACTTGCTCGCTCTGTGGCTTTGATTCCTTAACCTTTCCAAGTCTCAGTTCTCCCTGTCTAGTGGACGGTATAACAGGACTGACCTCGTTGGGCTCCTGTGAGGAGTAAATGAGTTGAATGTGTGTAGGTGAGGATGAGATGAGTGAATTCCTAGTGTTTATCTTGAACCTGGCCCATGCAAGGGCCAGGTCATTGTTGGTTGTGGATATATCCCTCATCGCATTGCACATGAGAAAACGCAGGCTCAGAGAGGATAAATGCCCTGCCCAAGGTTCTCTGTCCTTCCAGAACAAGGCTTTATGACCGCTGCCCCCCTGCTCCACGAGGCCTCTCAGACCTACGTGAACCTACCCAGAAAATGATCCACGAACTGCTCTAAGCAAAGTCAGTAGAGTGGAGGTGCCTCTTCTAAGCACGGTAGTTTGGCTGGGTTGTGGCCACTGGGTCTGTGACAGTGGTTAGTGAGCTGCCTGTCCCCAGTGGAGACATATGCTAGGGCTTAGAATGATCTTTACTGACCGAAGTTGGGGTTTCTATGTCTTCCCATACCCCAGGAGTGACTACTTGTGAGGCCCTGGACATGCTGGGGAGGATGCAGTCCCTGGGCGAGGCAAAGTGCACTCATCCCACCAGACCGTGCCTCCAGCTGCAGGGATGTTCCCCAGGGTCTTCGCCAAATCATGTGTGAGATTCATGTGATGGGGCTCAGTACAAGACCCGGCACAGAGTGATAATCAGTAATAGTGCTCCTCTAGGATCGATCCCTGGGTTGAACCAGTCATAGGCTGTTCCACCCTTGGCAAGATATTTGATTTCTCTGTGCTTCACTCAGATTGCTAGTAAATGTAAATGCAGTAATGTTTGCCTCGTGTGCGTGTTTGGGGCAAGAAGTTTAAAGGTAAAATGCTTTAGAACTGTGCTTGGGTATCAGTGAGCACTTAAATATCGGATGTTATCTGCTGCTTTATTGTTGCTCTGATTGAAGGGATGGAAGCTTTGGGGAATTCAGACGGTACCCGGTGCTGACCCTGTTCGGGTGCTTATTCTCTCTGTGGACGTCAGATGACTGGGGCCTTTTAGAAAGCAGAATAGATTGTTTGCTGGACTTGAATTAGAGACCCTGGTTCTGTGTGACTCAAGCATAGCATTCCTCTCTGTCGGCTTCAGTGTTTGAATTTGCTTGGGTAACTAGTAGGGGTGTGGTGCTGTTCCCAGGAGAGAAACAGATTTTACGGAAAATAACGATGAGTGTCCTTTAGGGCCTACTGGCTAGAGATGGAACTACCCCCGCCCCTCCCGCCCCACCAGGCATTGGGATGGAAAGGCCTAGAACTCAGGAGAGAGGTCTGATCTGGAGAGAGAGACTTGGGGGTATGCGGCATGATTGAGCCCCCCAGGATGAGTGGACGAGGAGGGCGCCCTGCAGAGAGTCTTCCCTTGGATGAAGCAGGAGGGAGCTGGGTACGGGCGTGAGCCTGATGCGGGGAGAGGGGGCCTGAGGAACCCAACCACCCAGCCAGTGTTTGTCCAGAGTGGTCTCACGAAGATCAAGCCAGGGTCATGCCTACTGACGGCCACCAAACAACAGAAGCAGAACCAAGAACATGCAAAAAAGGAAGTTTCCGAGGATCACTCAGTCACTTGAAATAACCCACAGAAAATGTGAGATGGTGTTGCAAGCGCCCTGTCTGCCCA